CCACCCTGTCACGGACTTCAAGTGGAGTGATGGCTGTCAACTAGTAAGCCACAAGAACCACTGTGATAGCACGCCCATGTCAATGTCGAGTTACCGAATTCTCCTGAACACATAAAACTCATCTTAAAAATCCAAGCGCAAATTCTCCGTAGGTCTCCCTTCCTTAAAACTATCTGCACAAACTACCGTTACAATGGTCGTTTCTCTGTAGCAGTTGTTCAAAGGAATGCCCATAAGAGCCAAACGAAGATAAAACTTAAGAGCCAAACGAAGATAAAACTTCTATGGAAATACTCTATGAGCCTCACTCTTTCACTCTATTATTACTCCTAGCTGCTGTGAGAGTAGAAACCTTAATAGCTCGACCCAGACAATTGACCAACCCCGTTTTCAGACCGTCCACTATAAGCTCTCTTCTCCCAAAAGAGTATCTTTCCTTCCATTTCTCTCTTTATTTGGGCATCAGTTCACAGTCAAGCGCCTCAACATAACATGTATCAAGACTACTACACTGGTTCTCCGCACCCTTTGTCCTCCAGTGACTGAAAGAAAACTCATAAGGGAAGTGTTCCCTTGGCAAAGAATTATTCCAGAATTTCTCCATGACGTAATTGACCACTTATTCGAGACACCACCCCATGAGACACGCCCACCATTAGAACTTGGAGCAGGAACAGAACATCTGAACACCCACAAATCAACTACAAACTAATTGAAGCTTGACCACTGTTGACTAAACCTCTCGCCCCTTCTGAAAATCTCCAATTTAATCGGAGAACAGAGAAATAACAAAGAAAAATATCTAATTTAATCGGAGAACAGAGAAAAAAGTCAAATTTAATGGGAGAACAGAGAAAGAAAAAATAAAAATCTTAAATTTAAATGGATAACAGAGCAAAAACAAAGAAAAATCCCCAAATTCAAATTGAAAAAAAAACCAGCAACCAAATCAATACTCACCAGAACGGCCCTGCGAGCCGGCACCGGCATCGACGGGCCTCCGCTGCCGTCCTCGGCGGCGACCAAGACGACGTCGGTGGACCCGGGTCCGGAGAGGTGGTGGTGGTGGTGGTCGATCGGAGACCAGGACCTCAAGGAGGCGACCTTGGATTTCAAGTGCTCGATTTCTCGCTCGAGCTCTTCCACGGTCTCGCTCGCCTCTTCCTCCTCGTAGGACTCCTTGCGCGTGTCGGCGCCGGCGTCGGCGTGCTTCGCCGACATGCACCGCATGGACTCGGTCTCCGCCGGTTGCTCGGAGAGCTAACTTCGTCTGCGAAACCTCGTACTCGGATCGTATTCAAGTAAAACCGTGTATAAAGGAAACTAAATATATAATCAATAACTTAGGAAATAATATTTCCCTAGCCAAAACGATTCTTTATTATTATTATTATTATTATTATTATTATTTTGTCGGTGGATTCTCTATATTTTATTAGGTTAATTTAGCTTTAAAACTCATCCACGAGGCGAGCACGTAGTGATAAAGCAAGTGGCTTATGGTAATCCATTTAATTTAACGATAAATATATATATGTAGGTTATAAGTACATATCGCGTGCCTAACTAAATGGATATGTTTTACATAATTTGAATGAGGTCCATAAGTCCGATTATTAATCAATCATCGAAAAAATTAGAGATATGTATCTCGCTAGAGTAATTCGAAAATAAAAAAAATTTAAAACTTATCTTCTTACTAAAACCTCTATTCATAATTTTAAGTTTAGCTTATTTGACTATTGAACAAATCGTACATAGTAAAATTTATTCCTACCGGTCCTCTTCTCAGGTTTCGGGGTATCATGCTCACCCCTACTTAAATCTCACGCACATTATTCATGAAAGATTCTTGAAAATTATAAAGAAAGCATATTATATACCAAATCGAGCAAATAGTCAAAGAGTAATAATATGTACAATAAAAAATGCTCACCCCTTCTTTTTTGTTTCTACCATTTTTTATTGTACATATTTTGATTATTTGATCTTGTTTTAATCCAAGAGTAATTATATTTATCCATCTAGATATTAATTGTCAAAAGTTATTTAGAAAACCATGTTCTTCAATATCGATTAAATCTAGGATTAATACCACGGAAAACCTAAAATCGGTATACTTGTGACAAATTTACTCATAACTATTTTTTTTATCACTAAAAACCTTAATATGGTACAACTGTGATAAATTTACCCCGAACTAATTTTTTAACCGCTAAAAACCCTAAACTGGTATACTTGTGACAAATTTACTCTCCATTAAATTGGATTAACACCACAAAAAATCACAACTGATAAATCTGTGATAAAATGAGCGGTAAAACCCCAAAATAATACACCCGTCAAACGCTACGTGCAATTAGCTTAGCAATTTGACGGTAAAATTTAATAGAAATTGACGAAGGATAAATTTATCACAGGTGTACCAGTTTGAGATTTTTGGTGGTAAAAAGACTAATTTGGGATAAATTTGTCACAAATGTATTAGTATGGGGTTTTTCATGGTATCAACCCCTAAATTTAAGCATAAATTATTCAAAATAAACAACAAACTATCAGCCGTATTTTATTCGACCTATTTGTAAAATCAATCGAATATCTTTGTTACTCGGTATTCATTACTTAATTAAAATGACATGTTCTCTAAATTATAAGTAACGTGTTTTGTGAGTAATATATATTTATTTATTCCATTTCTCCATTTAAATTATAAAGATGACTCTTTTCAACGGTCTTATATTTATTATTAATTGGGCTTTCTTCATAGATGAGATAAATTTATTTAGTAAAATTTGTTCCATTAGTCAGAATAAGGCATACTTAAAATTATATATAAACGTTGTAGCAATAAGATAAGTCTTTTGTTTGTTTTATCTTCACTTTTTATAATAACAAATGTTTCATTAACTAAGGACCCAAGCCCGAGTGTCGAGGACTTGCACACAGTCTTTGTGGACTCGGGCAAGAGGGTCAGGACTAGAGCTCGAGCATTGGAGACTTGAGCACGGCCTTTATGGACTCAAGTTCGGGTACGGCCACCAGGGGTTTGGGCTCAATCTAGATGGATCTGGGCGTGGGCGTCGGGGGCCTGAGCCTTGGACACTAAGGTCTCAAGCCTGACCGCCGAGACTTGAATTTGAATGTTGTGACTTGGGAACCAACGTTGAGATTTTCGTGTCTAAATGTAGAGTTTCAGGTCCAAACATCGATAACTAATCATATTTTGGAAAATGTTTTCCGGTTCTTTCGAAGAGAAAATCATTTTTCCTGAATTTAAGCTTTGGTAAGGAAATCTTTTTCGTTGACTAGGAAAATATTTTCCGTTAACTCATTTTCTTATGCAAACCAAACGCCGGAAAATAAAGGAAAGTGTTTTCTTGGAAAATATTTTCCGCGAAACAGACGCATCCTAAATGAAAATAAGAACAAAGTTTTTTTTGTTGGTTTTTTGTTGGTAGGAAATAAGAACAAAGTTTGATAACCCCAAATGTAACAACTCTAAATTGAAATAGAGTCTCTTATCTGCAAGCATTTGGCTTGTCTAAAATTTCTTGGACTTTGCTCAAGTTTCACCTAAATCATAGCATAGACTATCGATTTCCGCAAGAAAAAAAGAAAGCATATTGAAACCCATAAAAAGCCATTATTACATCCATCAAGCATTTATCAGTCATGATAACGATGCGTGTGCACTTCGCTTCAATAATCGATACTCTTTCGTTTTAAATATATCGTTTTCACGTTTGGGAAATTTATTTACGGAAGCGATTCTTTTAACTAAACGGTATATCTATATAACATATATGTAAATAGATTGCCATAAGCTTTTTGCTGTAATCACTTCGTGCATGCCTCGTACCAATAGAGAACAAAAAAAAAATCATGTTAAAGAAAGAGGCATTTCGTCTTCACAATTGTTCAAGAATTTTCACGAAAATTAATCAAATCAAAATAGACTCAGAGCTGTTGTGGGGAATACTTTCCACAATCATAATCATTATTTTTTGTTTGTCGTTATGTACGTTTTCATGAAGAGGCCATGTGCTCTGCAAAAGATTTCCACTTAGATTTCATGGGGACAAGTGACTTTTTGCTTTTTGCTGTAATCACTTCGTGCATGCCTCATACCAATAGAGAACAAAAAAAAAAAAATCATGTTAAAGAAAGAGGCATTTTATCTTCACAATTGTTCAAGAATTTTCACGGAAATTAACGAAATCAAAATAGATTCAGAGCTGTTGTGGGGGAATACTTTCCACAATCATAATCATTATTTTTTGTTTGTCGTTATGCACGTTTTCATGAAGAGACCATGTGCTCTGCAAAAGATTTCCCACTTAGATTTCACGGGGACAAGTGACTTTTTGCTTTTTGCTGTGGTCACTTCGTGCATGCCTCATACCAATAGAGAACAGAAAAAAAATCATATTAAAGAAAGAGGTATTTTGTTTTCACAATTGTTCAAGAATTTTCACGGAAATTAATCAAATCAAAATAGATTCAGAGCTGTTGTGGTGGAATACTTTCCACAATCATAATCATTATTTTTTGTTTGTCGTTATGCACGTTTTCACGATGAGATCATGTGCTCTGCAAAAGATTTCCCACTTAGATTTTATAGGAATAAATGATCGGAAGTTCTAAAATTTATTATAAAAATATAATTAAATTTTAAATTTTTTAAAAAATATAATAAAATTTTAAAATTTGTTATAAAAGTGTCGTTGAGTTAGAAAATTTTTAAAAAATATAAATAAATCCTAAAATTTATCACGAAAATATAATTGAATCTTAAAATTTACAAAAGTGTAATAAAATTTTTTTTATTAAATAAATTTGATAAATTTGATATTTTAATTATATATTTTAAAAATTTTAGGATTAAATTACATTTTTATTCATAAGTTTTAAGATACACTTATTCCTAGATTTTATTTGATTGACTTCCTGACACGTCTTCTGCTCATTAAACAGAGAGCCCTCATCGAGGCCCTTTCTGTCGCTGAAGTCTGAGCGGTTTCCCAAAGCGAAGTAGCTCTCCCTCCCTCAGCCGATGATGCAGCGACCCTACGAGGAGGAGGAGACCGACCGCACCTCCTGCGAGGAGGAGTGCGTCACGCTCGATGCCCAGGAGTGCTCCGAGGAGGCCAAACAGACCAAGGAAGAGCTCAAGCGAGAGATCGAGCACTTAAAGGCCCAAGTCGCCTTCTTGAGCATCTGGTCTCCGACCGGCCTCGACCACCCCCACGGCACCGACGTAGTCTTGCTCGCCGCCGAGGACGGCCCCAACGGAGGCCCCTCTATGGGGGTCCCGGTTCACATGGCCATGCTGGTGAGCTGCATTGCCTTTTGTTTCTGCTTTTGATTTAAATTTTCTCCCTTTGAATTTGGGAATTTCCGGAAGAGGCCAGAGGGTTTAGTGCAGAGCGGTTAAAACATCGATGTTGTAGTTAATATATATTTTTTTGGGAGGGTTCGTAAGCTCTGTTCCTTGCTCCAAGTTCCAATATCGGGCGTGTCTCATAGGGGTGGTGATAAATTGTGTGATCAATGGTTAATAAGTGGTCGATTACAGTCATGAACAAATTTTAGACTAATTCTTGGTGAAAGTGGGGAAGATAAGATGCGGGAACACGGTCTTTATGAGTTCTCTCAGTCGGCAAACCATTGTATGCTGAATCTTTTTTGTTCGTGCAAAATTAACGTGCTCGACTGTGAAATAATGCCGGGGAGGGAAGACAAGATACTCTTTTGGAGGGGCTTGTGGTGGATATATGATTGGTCTGAAAACGGGGTTGGTCGAAGTGTTGTAAGAGAGGGAAACAAAAGTGCTCGTAGAGGATTTCTTGAGAAGTTTTATCTACCTTTGGCCCTCGTGGGCATTCCTACGAACAATTGTTATTGAGAAAAGGCCACTGCAATGGTAGTTTGTGCCGATAGATTTAAGTAAGGGAAATCTACCGTGAATTTGCAGTTGGATTTTAAGGATTTTTTTTTTTATGTGTTCATGAAAATTTGTAACGCGACATTTGGACATGGTATGTGCTAACACAGTGGTCACTATGGCTTACTAGTTGACAGCGATCCCTCTTTGCCCTCGCCACTTGAAATCCATGACAGGGTGGTAGTTTCAGTCTGAAAGCAAAGAGTGCCCCCAAGAGTGATATTACTTGAGGATAATGAGTTAGGGTTTGCATGATTCAATGCCTACATTAGGCCCCAGAGGAGGCCTGCACGACCCCTTTAACTAGCTTGCCATCTTGAACTTTCATGCTGTCATATTCTTCAAGAACAGTACTCATATTACTAATTGCCTAATGAGATCCTCTAGCTATTTCCTGCTCGTTGGGTTGTGTCAGTCAAGCCATCCTTCATATTTTCTTGTGCATGAGGATATCAATTAGAAGGCAGCCACTCTAGAATTGGCAACCTTGTAATGTAATAGACTTCCTTTTGTAAATGACTATGCTTGCCACAAGATACTCTTTAGAGCTGCTTGGATAGAGTCTAGGGTCGCGTAAATGATTCACATAATTACTATCTTAATTGTTGTGTACCGGAGCAAAACTAACCAATTAAAAAGAAACTGAAATTATTCATCTTAGATTTATGCCTTTTTGTTCACTTTAAATTTTATCAAGCAGGTACCTACCAAACAAGTTCTGTCAAATGGCTTCTTTCCTTGTCAGACAAGTCTTGACCAAATCACCGAGAGTTCTAAACATATGTATTCAATGATCAATTTTTATGGTGATCCGGCCTCAAAAAAGGATGTTGGACCTCTTCCTTCTTTCGTTTCTGGCCTCAATAATTGCTTGGAGTGGTCTTGGTCTTCTCTCTTCTTGAGCTTAAACTTAACTTTCTTATGGTTACTTGAGTTTTCAGGGTGTAATGCCAAAGTTAGTGGAGTAAATAGTTGTTGAGCGTGTATAATCAGCATTATCAACTCAATATGAATTTCTGCAATGCTTTATCTAGAGATTTGCCATAAAATTCTGCCACTGCACATGCTTGTGGCTGGATATATATGGTGAAAACTGGATGCTGCTAAAGATGCTCCTACGTAAGACATTTCCACTGACAGATTATGTCCTTTACTTACTAGTCAGTTGTTAAATTCTCTCTTAGGTTGATATAGAAGTTTTTATATTAGCCTTCATCTATTCAGGCATTAGAAGTAAATATTTGTTTGCTTGGACTGGATTTCTAAATCAGAGAGATTCTCAATTTTTTTCTTTTGCAGGGAATTGTTTCCTTTTATTTGCTTGCAATTAGGCTTTAGTTGAGTTGAGTGGAATATTAATCTCTATTTGAAGTGACATATTTAGTAATTAAGTTGCTGGATACTTCATTCATTATGATTCTTTCGCAAGATTTGATTTAAGCGAGCCACCGGATATGCATTTTGCCTGCTGCTATGTACTTTTCATTGGTTTTACCAATTCAAACATCACAAAAGCTTGAGTTGTGGTCTTTCGCTTGGCATAGGGCACTTATGAGCACAGCATAGTTTTCATAATTTTTGTAATTGATAACGATAGGAAGGACATATTCGTAAGCTTTGTTTGCATGCTCATAATAGTTATTTTCTTCAATTTAACCGACTCTGACTCTTATAGATAAGATGCATAAACATCTCCTATCAAACTAATGAGTTTTGACACTACAAGCATTGCCTTTCTAAGTGCTTTTCAATTTTCTATTAACTCTCAGGCTAGCCGGTCCCCAATATTTAAAGCAATGCTCGAGGATGAGATGGATGAAAGCCGAACCGGCACCATCAAGATAAGTGGCATGTCATATGATGCCCTCCGAGCATTTGTTGGCTATCTATATGCCGAAGCATGCCTCGATGAGCAAATGGCTTCTGAGCTTCTGGTATTGGCCGAAAAGTACCAGGTGAAGCCCCTCAAAGCTTATTGTGAGAAGTTCTTGGTGTCCAAATTAAACTGGGACAACTCGATCATAAACTATGTCTTTGCGCACCAGCACAACGCGAAGCTTCTCCTTGAGGCCGCCTTGTCCTTAATCAAGGACAACTTGGATAAACTCAGAAAACGTCAAGAATACTCGATACTCGTTGAAAAGGACCCACGCCTTGTGGTGGAGTTATATGAAGCATGTGTTGCAAAGCAGGAAAATGATGCAGCACCTAAGGACACTTCTGCGAAGTTATAGTCTTGTCTGGAGAAAGGAATTTCGTATCCACAAGGAAAGGGGGCTTTCTTAGTTTTATAATCTTTTTCCTACAGCAATAGCAGATTCTCAGATGATTATCGATCGCTTTGGCTCTGGGGAGCATTTTTTGATTTACTAGCGAAAGCCATTCTTTAGGCTCGGTACCATCCATTTGAGTTTCTTTGGTTGATGTATGATAAGGACCAAACTTTGAAACTTTGCTATCTGATCTCGGAGTTCGCTTGTCCCTTTTCTTTTGGTTCTTTTGTTATTGAAAAAAGTTTCTAAGCCTGAAAATCCGGCCCTCTACTTCTTTGTGATGGCAATCATGCGAGTGTTTTTTATTTCATAGATCAAAGAGAACTAGTCAAAATTCTCTTCAATCTTGTATTTTCGATTGAGATAACTTATGACTCTTCCCATTGCCTTTCCGACTTAGGGTTGCAACTTTTTTTTTTTTACTCTTGCTTTCCTTTCATTTAAAGTAACTTACCCTTTGATAATTCCACGACTTCTAGTGCAGACATTTGTTTTCTAGCAATACTTTGGATCTTGATCTGTGTGATGGTATTATCATTTTGTGATCTGAAGCATTGGTTGAGATGGAAGTTATCTGAATGTTTCTGCGTATAAACTTGATAGATGTCTCTACAACCTCTACCATGGAGTAAAGCAATTTTATGAAGTTAGTTCTGGCCTATCATACATCAACCAAAGTAACTCAAATGGATGGTACCGTACCTAAAGAATGGCTTTCACTAGTACATCAAAAAATGCTCCCCAAAGCCAAAGCCATCATAATCATCTGAGAATCTCCAATTGGTGTAGGAAAAAGATTAGTAAAACTAAAAAAGCCCCCTTTCCTTGTGGATACGAAATTGCTTTCTCCAAACGAGATTATTACTTCGTAGAAGTATCCTAGGAGCTGCATTGTTTTCTTGCTTTGCAAGACATGCTTCAACTAACTCCAACACAGGGTGGGTCTTTTTCAGCGAGTATCGAGTATCCTTGATGTTCTTGCTTATCCAAGTTGTCCGAGAATAAGGATGCGGTGTCCTCAAGTAGAAGCTTCGCGTTGTACTGGTGGGCAAAGGCATAGTTTATGAACAAGTTGTCCCAGTTTAATTTGGATACCGAGAACTTCTCACAATAGGCTTTGAGGGGTTTCACCTGGTACATTTCGGCCAATACTAGAAGCTCTTTGGCTTTCTTCCATCTCATTCTTGAGCATTACTTTAAATACTGGGGACTGGTTAGCCTGATTGGAAATAGCAAATTGAAGAGCACTTAGAAAGTGTAATTCTTGCATTGTGAAAACTCAACAGTTTGATAGGAGATGTATATGCATCTTATCTATAAGAGTCAGAGTTTGCTAAATTGAAGAAACTCCTTATATGAATATTATGAGCATGCGAGCAAAGCTTTTGAACATGTCCTTGCTATCGTTATCAATTACAAAAATTATGAAAACTATGTTATGCTCATAAGTGCCCTATGCCAAGGGAAAGACCATAACTCAAGCTTTTGTGATGTTTGAGTCGATAACGCCAATGAAATGCACATAGCAGCGGGCAAAATGCATATCCACTGGCACAAGCATCGCTTAAATCAAATCTTGTGAAAGGGTCAAAATGAATGGAGTATCTAGCAATATGTCACTTCATATAGAGATTAATATTCCACCCAACTCAATTAAGCCTCATTCCAAGCAAATAAAAGGAAACAATTACCTGCAAAAAAATAAAATTTGAGAATCTTTTTGATTTAGAAATCCAGTCCAAGCAAGCAAATATGTACTTCCAATGCCTGAATAGATGAAAGCTAATATGAAAACTTCAAGATCAACCTAAGAGAGAATTTAACAACTGAGTAGGAAGTAAAAGACATAATCTGTTAGTGGAAATGTCCTATGTAGGTGCATCTTTAGCATAATGCAGTTCCAAATGCAAATGCGACCCCTATTTTCACCATATATATCTGGCCACAAGCATGTGCAGTTCAAGAATTTTACATCGAGTCTCTAGATAAAGAGCCGCAGACATTCATATTGAGTTGATAATGCTGGTTATACACGCACAACTATTTACTCCGCTAACTTTGGCATTACATCTTGAAAACTCAAGTAAACATAAGAAAGTTAAGTTTAGGCTGAAGAAGAGAGAAAACCAGGACCACTCCAAGCAATTTTGAGGCCAGAAACGAAAGAAGGAAGAGGTCCAACATCCTTTTAAGAGGCTGGATCACCATAAAAATTGATCATTGAATGCATATGTTTAGAACTCTTGGCAAGACTTGTCTGAGGAGGAAAGAAGCGATCTAACAGAACTTGTTTGCTCCAGTACACAACAATTAGGATAGTAATTAGGTGAATCATCTGCTTGAACCCAGACTCTATCCAGCCATCTCCAAAGAGTATAAGCGTAGTCATTTACGAAAGGAAGTTTATTACATCACATAATTGCCAATTCTAGAGTGGCTGCCTTCTAATTGATATCCTCATGCACAAGAAAATATGAAGGCTGGCTTAACTGACGCAACCTGACGAGCAGGAGATAGCTAGACGATTTCATTCGGCTATCAATAATATAACTACTGTTCTTCGAGAATATGACAGCATGAAAGTTCAAGATGGCGAGCTAGTTAAAGGGGTCGTGTAGGTTTCCTGTGGGGCAACGTAGACATTAAATCATGCAAACTCATTATCCTCAGGTAAAATCACTTTTGGGGGCACTCTTTGCTTTCGGACTGAAACTACCACCCTGTCACAGACTTCCAAGTGGTGAGGGCAAAGAGGGATTGCTGTCCACTAGTAAGCCATAGGTATCGCTGTGTTAGCACATCCCACGTCCAAATGTCGCGTTACCAAATTCTCATGAACACACAAAAAAAAATATCGCAAAAGTCCAACTGCAAATTCACCGTAGGTTTCCCTTACTTAAATCTATCAGCACAAACTACTATTGCATGGCCTTTTCTCAATAACAATCGTTCGTAGGTATGCCCACGAGGGCCAAAGGTAGATAATTCTAATGAAATCCTCTATGAGTATTTCTGTTTTCCTCTCTTATAACTCCTCTCTGCGTCAACTAAAATGAAAATCTGAGAAACCTTAACAGCTGACCCAGACAACTGAATTTCAAAACACTCCGACCTTCCCCGTTTTCAGACCATCATATATCTACTGCAAGCCCTGCCAAGAGAGTATCTTGTCTTCCCTACCCAGCATTATTTCACGGTCAGGCATGTTAAATTTGCAGAAATTAAGATTATCGGACAAAGATTCAGCATACAATGGTTTGCCGACTGAGAAAACCCATAACGACCGTGTTCTTATCTTCACCACTTTCACCAAGAATTATTCTAAAATTTCTTCGTGACCGTAATTGACACTTATTTACCATTGATCACACAATTTATCACCACCCCTATGAGACACGCCCGCTATTAGAACTTGGAGGAAGCAACAGAGCATACGAACGCTCCAAAAAATTAACTGTGCAAGGATATCAACGAACTGAGCAAAAGCCGATGCTCACCAGAATAGCCCTGTGAGCCGGCACCGGCATAGAGGGTCCTCCGTTGGGACCGTCCACGGCGGCGAGCAGGACGACGTCACTAGGTCGACCACTGAGGTGGGGGTGGTGGCCTCTCGGAGACCAGATACTCAAGAAGGCGACTTGGGCCTCAAGTGCTCGATCTCTCGCTTGAGCTCTTCCTTGGTCAGTTTGGCATCCTCGGAGCACTCCTCGGACGTGCCGGCATCGAGCGTGACGCACTCCTCCTTGCAGGAGGTGCAGTCGGTCTCCTCCTCCTCGCAGGATCGCTGCATTGGCTGAGGGAGAGCTAATTCACTTGGGAAACCTCTCGACTCCTGAGACAGAAAGAGATTCTGCGCACGGTCAAGTAAAAACGTGTAAAAAACGACCAAGAATATAATTAAATTATAATTATGGAAAGTAATCTCTCACAACAACTCTGAAATCTGTATTTGAGTTTGATTAATTTATCCTTATAACTAATCCCCTATCGATTTCCGTGAAGATCCTTAACAATTGTGAAGGCAAAAATACCCTAAAAAAAGTAGAATCTCACTTTTGTTTTCTTGCTTCTCCCCCACATATATATATTTTTTAATTTTCAATTTCAAGTATCTTCTGCTCTTAACATAATTTTCTTTTTTTTTTGAGGTTCTATTCGTGTGCTTTTTTGAACTTAACCGTGCGATAGTACGAGGCAAGCACGAAGTGATTACAGCAAAAAGTTTATGGTAATCTATTTGATTTATAATACAATAATGAAAAGGCAAGTGATAAAATACATGTAGGTTGTAAAGATGTTCTTTAGTTAAAAGTACCGTTTACGTAAAACGAAAGAGCATCGCTCATTGAAGAGAAGTCGGTTAAAAGATGAGCTTGTTATGTGGCTTTGCTTGTTTGCCGACTACATTGCAGGAGGTACTTATATGACTCATCAATGTCCTATTAATATGATGAGTGACAGAATGCTTCCTTTTTTACTTCTCTGCGTGTATGATGGATGAAAGGGCATTTTTATTGTGCCATCTTTAGGCTGCAAAACAGGCATGTGCATAATAGAAGCAGAAGTTGTTCTGGTTTATGTACACCCAGTTTACTGCATAAGAAATTTCCATCTTCTTTGACACTATATTGGCAACTTTAAGATTTTCTAGCTGGCTGTCTTTGAAATCAGGTATTGTGGAATAACGGATGATCTGTTTAGGGCTTCTGCAATATTAGTTGGTGTCTATGAACCAACAAAACAGAAATGGCTAAGGGCCTTTTCATATAACTTAAGTGCGCTTGCTCATTTGGTAATTGTGGAAACCCTTCATTAATCGCTTCTCTTCCAATTTGGGCTTGTCTCAAGCATTTTCCTTGTTGGTTAGGTTCCTCAGTTTCGGTACAAAATAGTTCATTGCTCGTGCATGGAAGTTTCTTAAATTTGCTTTCATCGTACCGCAAATACCCCCAACAACAACAACAAAACGCAATTACAAATGGAAAAAAGAAGAAGAGAGAGAGCGAAAGAAATCACCAAAAAGAACACACATTTTCCTTGATGCTAGTTGTTTACATGTCTTGGTATACTGTAGTTCTTTTTCATTGCCCAGCAACCCCAATTTGTACCTCTTTTTTGGCAAGTTATA